AATGACATACACAGAACATATTGAACCCTACACCCAACATAAACAGGCTATATATTCCTTTCAAGTACATTTGCAACAATCATAAAAATTATCCTCAATAAGACCACAAAGGAAATGTAAATAAATAACAAGTAATTGATATCCATACAGACCATTCTCTAACTTCAATATAATATAATTAAAAATCAATCAGTAAAATTTAACTAAATCCCCAAGTATTTGGGGGGAAATCTAATGTGTTCCCCAAACATATGAGGATTTCATGTTTATGTAGTATTCACAGATACTACCTGTAGAATGTCCCTGAACTATTCAAATTCAAATCTATATAATTAGAAGGCTGAAAATTAACAGTATCAAGAAGGTACCAAAACAAAATAAAAAAATGGAACTAAAAAGAAGGCAATGCCAAAGATAAGAGTTAACATTAAGGAAATAGGAAACAGAGATCCATAGTGAGGACTAATAAAACCAAATATCTAGTTCTTCAAAAAGACTACTAAAGCAGATAGACCCCAAGGAAAAAAAGAGAGAACGAACAAGGAAAAATATTAGTAAAAATACCAACAGGAGATTTTTAAAGATTACAGGGAAAATATGAACTTTTATGCCAATAAATTGGAAAGTTTATTTAGATAATAATTTCCTACAAAAAATATCACATAAAAATTGATTCAAAAAGAAATAGAAAAACAGGTTATAAAAAATTCATCCATGTTTTCATCTGGCACTTGTTTCACTTTTTACATTTAAATCTTCTGATTCATTTGGAGTCATTTTGGTACATGGTGTGAACCATGGCTCCAATTTTATATCCTGATGGCTATCCAGTTGTTATACCCTATCACTCAATTTATTCAGTTATTAAATAGTATAACTTTTCCCCACTGATTTGAAATGGCATTTCTGTTAAATGTTAAAATCCCAAATGCAGGGTTTATTTCCAGACTTTATATTCCATTTAATTGGTCTGTCCCTTTTTTCTTTTCTGTTTTAAACGCTTTATAATATGTTGTACTATCTAATAGGCTTTTGATATTAAAACCAGATATTATAAGGAATGTAAAGTATATACACCTAGGTTACCTAAATATGGCTATAAAAATCCTCAATAAAATACAGGCAAACTGAATCAAGCAATCTATAAGCAAGCAATACATCATGATCAAGCAGGGTATGTGTCAGGAATACAAAGATGATTTAATCTTCAACATTCTATCGGTACAATTCGCCATCTCTTATCTAAAGGAGAAAACCATTTCATCATCTCATGAACTTCAGAAAAACTATTTAGTTCATCTCATGAACTTCAGAAATACTAATTTTAAGAAAACTCTTAGCAAACTAGGGGCACCTGGGTGGCTCAGTCAAATAAGTGTCCAACTCTTGATTTTGGCTCAGGTCATGATCTCACCATCATGAGATCGAGCCCCACCTCAGGCTCTGCACTGGGCATGGAGCCTGCTTAAGACTTTCTCTCTCCCTCTGCCTCTCTCTCTATCTCTCTAAAAAAAAATAAAGAGGGGCACCTGGGTGGCTCAGTCGGTTGAGTGTCCAACTTCGGCTCAGGTCATGATCTTATGGTTCATGGATTCAAGCCCCGAGTCAGGCTTTGTGCAGATAGCTCAGAGCCTGGAGCCTACTTCGGATTCTGTGTCTCTCCCTGCCCCTGCCCCATTCATGCTTGCTCTCTCTCTCTCTCTCTCTCTCTCCCTCTTAAAAATAAACATTAAAATTTTTTTTAATAAAGAAGAAAAGAAAACTCTCAGCAAACTAGTTTAAAAGAGAACTTATCTTAATAATAGGTATCTACCCAAACCTATGATAAACATTGCATTTCATGGTAAAACTTTAGAAGCACTGGAGATGCCTACTATCCCCACGCCTGTACATTGTGCTGGAGATCTTAGTACAATGTAACAAGAAAATCAAAAAGTGTATAATTGGGGGGCGCCTGGGTGGCGCAGTCGGTTAAGCGTCCGGCTTCAGCCAGGTCACGATCTCACGGTCTGTGAGTTCGAGCCCCGCGTCAGGCTCTGGGCTGATGGCTCAGAGCCTGGAGCCTGTTTCTGATTCTGTGTCTCCCTCTCTCTCTGCCCCTCCCCCGTTCATGCTCTGTCTCTCTCTGTCCCCAAAATAAATAAACGTTGAAAAAAAAATTTAAAAAAAAAAAAAAAAAGTGTATAATTGGGAAGGGGAAAAAATAGCATTATTCACAGATAATAAAATTCTTTACATAGAGAATCTACGTCTATGAGAATCTACAGTCAAATTACCATGAAAGTTAACCAGAGACAAAACAATAGTGTTCCTGAATACCAGCAATGAACAATGAGAAAATGTGACTTTTCAAAGAAACCATTTAAAACAGCAACAGAAACTACAAGGTGTCTTAGAATAAACCCATTCAAAGATGTGTAAGACTTTACGTAGAGATATTTTATTAACAGACATAAAAGTCTGCATAAGTGGAAGTATACACCATATTCACAGGTCTGAAGAGTTACTATCATAAAGATGACAATTTAAGGGGCACCTGGGTGGCTCAATTGGTTATGCATCTGACTCTTGATCTCAGCTCAAGTCATGATCTCACGGTTCGTGAGATCAAGCCCCATGTCAGTCTCTGTGCTGACAGTGCAGAGCCAGCTGGGGATTCTCTCTCTTTCCCTCTATCTCTGTCCCTCCCCAGCGCATGCACTCACACGTGCGCTCTCTCCCTCTCTCTCAAATAAATAAACTTTAAAAAAAGATTGCAATTTAATTCCACAGTAATCAAGAAATCAAATGGAACTTCAACCTGACAGAGGTTCTTCCTGGAATCTCCAGGAACGTTTACAAGGTGATTCTAAAATTCTTACAAGGATAGACTCACCCAACAAGATATCAGAATTACTATAAAGCTTTGGTACTAGCTCAGGGATCAACAAAAAGACTAACGGAATTGTTATGGACTGAATGTGTACCCCCAAAGTACATATGCTGAAATCCTAACCCCCAGAGTGACTCTGCTTACAGATGAGGCCTTTAGAGTTTGCTAGCATTTTACTGAGGCTTTCTACATTTCTGTTCATCAGGGATGATGGTCTGAAATTTTCTTTTCTAGTAGTGTCCTTTGCTAGTCTTGGTATCGGGAAAATGCTGGTTTCATAAAATGAGTTTGGGAGTGGCTCCCTCCTTTTCAATGCTTTTGGAAGAGTTTGAGGATTGGTGTTAATTCTCCTCGAGATGTTTGGCAGAAATCACCAGTAAAGCCATCTGGTTCTGAGCTTTTCTTCAGTGGGAGATTTTCTATTACTGATTCACACCAGGAGGAAATATGCATAGGAGACACAGACCAGAGTGTTCGTTGCAGCAGAGTTTGTAATAATAATTTCCTAAAAGGTAGAAACAACCTAATGTCTCTAGTTTGGTTTATTCACAGACTTCATCAGTTAAAATTAATGAATTCAATCTGTGTTCTCAAAATTGATCAATCTCACAAACTTTAAGTTTAAAAAGCCAATGATAGAAGACACCTTTTATTTAAATTTAAATTTGTGAAACGCACAAAATAGTATATACTATTTATGAATATATAATATGGAAGAAAATACTAATACACTCTTGGGAAAAGTACCCATCAGTTCCACTGTGTGTAGTTGCCTCTGAGTGAGAGGCATAAAAGGGCCGGAATGGTGACACTGTGTCTTACTCCACAAAGTTTTACTTCTGGCTTTGTTTTCTTTTTTAAGAGATCTAAGCAAATCTTGCAAGATCTTAACATCTGTTTAATCTCAATAGTTCATGGCTGCCAGAGGTGGGAGTGGGGATGAGTGTTCTATTATTTTCTGTATGTTTGAAATGTATTAAAATTCAAAAAACAGCAAAGGAAAAGAAAATGCCCAAGACAAGTAGCCAGGGAAGGTCAACCTGCAGAAAATAGCATCATAGAAACCAAGGGGAAGGGTGGGCCTTACTCAGTGCTGCAGAGCTGGCTGCTGCCCACGGGATTGAGAGGGTGCACCAGCTCTGGGTTAGCATCACCCCATGAGTGACGCGAGAGGAAGCCGGCTCTCTGTGGCCACGCTTTGCCCAACTCTAAGTCTGGCTATGCCAGGGAGTGACAGCAGGTGGTACTTGCAGGGAAAGTAGCCCTTCTGCGCGGTCTGGGAACATCTGGACCTTATCAGTAAGGTAAGGGAAACAAGTGTACAGGGCAAGGGTAAGACTGAGGCCACAAGGGATGGGAAGGAAGGCTGCTGATGCAAACAGGGGAGTGTCTAGGAAGTAGCAGGAGGGGCAAGGCAGGGGTTGAAAAGGCAGCCACTGGGCTCCCAACTTAGGGTGGCCGGAATCCAACAGAGCCTCCTGCCAGCAACACAGCCCACCCTCGATCCAGAAAGGAGAGCTGGTCCTGAGAGCATAAAGATGATGGGGGGTTGTACTCACCGTTAAGTTGTATAGTTGTGCAGTTACTTAAATGAGTATTCAAGGAAAAAAAATCAAAACATAATTAGCTACTGTGTGACTTCAGGTGAGAGGCAGCAGCAGGGGAGCCTATGAAGGCAGTTAAACACCCTGGGCTTTGCATCTCAACTCAAAGAGCCCAGCCCTGCGGACCACAGCACGTCCATGCAGCCCATGTGTATTTATCTCCACCTGTACTTTAAAAATTTTTTTTTTTTCAACGTTTATTTATTTTTGGGACAGAGAGAGACAGAGCATGAACAGGGGAGGGGCAGAGAGAGAGGGAGACACAGAATCAGAAACAGGCTCCAGGCTCTGAGCCATCAGCCCAGAGCCCGACGCGGGGCTCGAACTCACAGACTGTGAGATCGTGACCTGGCTGAAGTCGGACGCTTAACCGACTGCGCCACCCAGGCGCCCCTCCACCTGTACTTTTAAAAGCAGTCAGAAGTTTGGAAACCATCCCCTTTGGAGGAAGCTATGCTAGGCTGGGTGTTGATGGGGGTCTTGGCTCTGTTTGAGGCTGACTTGCCTATCTCTCACGCTTCTAGGACCTTCTCAACGACCTGTTTGCCATTATTTTCCTTGTGGGGGCCGTGGTCATAGCTGTGAAAAGTCGACAAACCATGCCACTGCACTACTTTATTGCTGTGGTGAGTCTTTCATGTTGGGCAGTTTATTTGCTCAGAAATCACCTCTTTTAGGGGCGCCTGGGTGGCTCAGTCAGTGAAGCATCCGACTCCTGATTTTGGCTCAGGTCATGATCTTACGCTTTGTGAGTTCAAGCCCTGGGTCGGCTCTCTGCTGTCAGTGCGGAGGCCATTTGGGATCCTGTCTCCCTCTCTCTCTGCCCTTTCCCCACTCTCACTCTCTCTCTCTCTCTCTCTCAAAAATAAACATGAAAGAAAGAAAGAAAGAAAGAAAGAAAGAAAGAAAGAAAGAAAGAAAGAAAGAAAGAAAGAAAGAAAAGAAATCACCTCTTTTGGAGAATGGGTGTTTTCCACTGATTTAAGGAAAGGGCTTCTTTTCACAAAATTTTGGGACCCATGCAAAGTTTAAAACTAAAGGTGGTAAATGCTTCCAATGAAAAAACCACTTAAATAAAGATGATGTCCAGGGAGCCAGCCAATCTAATGGCTTTCTCCTCCTAGCTGCCCCAATCCCTGAGGCAAAGGGTCACACCCAGGCCGCTAACCATGGGTTTTAAGAGACAGGCACAGGTGGAGAGGGGTGGGGCAGGGAGGAGAGGGAGGCTGAAGCTGGAGGAGGGGCAAACTCAGAATGTCTCTGGTTGAGAAGTCTAGGAAGAGGAAAGGACGTGTTAATCAGCACCCGCAGACGAATTAGAAACAAGGAGAGAATATGCCGGCTTTGGAATGAAAAGCAAAAGTAATGGGCATCCTTTTTTCCCCCAGATCCTTATTGGTATGGCTGGAATGTTTGCTTTAATGGATATGTGTCTTCAAAGAAAACATTTCAAAGGCAAGAGGCTCAAAACCAATGTGCTGTTTCCTCCAAAAAATGAACGAAAGGTTGAAAAGCCAAAGGAAGCAGAAAACCCACCAGAAAAGGCACCAGAAAAGGCACCAGAAAAAGCAGAAAAGCCAAAGCAGAGAGTAAAGGGAGGCAAGAAATGACGCAAAGGAGACCCCTGTTATCAAAAGTGGCAGTGCGTTTTACGACAAATATTTCCAGTTTATTGTCTTCTCTCTAGAATGGTTTTCTTTTCCATCCTAATAACCAACTTTGCTTGAAAAAGAAATTCCTCTTTAAATGGATTTTAAAGCTTAATGTTGATCTAAACATTATTTTGTTCATTCAACAAAAGTTACTGAAAGTTTTGGTGCAGAGGGCAAGACCAGAGATGGGCCTCTCAGGGTGCCTGTAGGCCACAGGGCACACAAGATTTGGGGTACCCGTAGCGTGGGTGACAGAGGCTGTCAACAGTGACCAGCCAAAGGGGCCAGAGGAAAACAACAGACTGGAAAACAAAATGGACATTTTATTCACATTAATTTTTTTTTTTTTCTTTTTTTTTGAGGTTGGGGAGAGAGAGTAGAGGAGGGGCGGAGGGAAGAGAGAGAGTCCCAAGCAGGCTCTGCACAGGTCGGAGCTCATGACCTGAACCAAATTCAAGAGTCGGGTGCTTAACCGACTGAGCCACCCAGGTGCTCCCACATCGATATTTACATTTTTAAAAAGCATCCAGGTAGTCGCTATGAGAAAAACAGACTGCTGGCCTCTCTTACTTTTACTTTGTAGCTTAGCATCGGTTCTCATTTGAGGTGTACTCAGGAAGAGGGCAACAGGGGTGGTATCATCCCCTCAGGGCTCAGGGCCTCTACCATCCCCTCAGGCTCGCATCTGGGCCAGTCAGCTTGGGCACAGGAGGAACTGGGAGCACTCAGGTTCCCTCAGAGATGGCCAGCCAACCCTCTGGGACCTGCAGGGTCTCCCTCAATAAGGACCTGAGCATAAGCCCTGAGCTAGGCTCAGCTGGGCACCACAGCCACAGTTCCCACTCACAGGCCTCGGTCAGGGCCCCAGTCTTACTGGACAGACCGACCACGAGGCAGGAGAAGGGTCATCCTCATGAGAGGAAAGCAAGGTCCCACACTGATGCATGAGGAGCTGGAAGAGATGGGGGGTGGGGAGTAATGGGGTGCCCCCCCCCCCAGCCTAGCCAGGAACAATGTGAGAGACAGGCTGAGAGGGTCAACTGGGCCGTGAGAGCCATGCTAGTGGCTCGGGCCTTTGTCCTAAGTGCCACATTCAGGTGGGGAAGCAGGTGGAGCCCAAACTTGGATGGCCCCAGCCATAGGGCCTCCACCATTCCAGTCATTACTCCCTCTGTAGCCCCCACAGCACCCCCTGCAGGCCAGGCAGGGTGAGGCAACCCTGCTGAAAGTGGGAGCAACTACAGGGAGTTACATTGTAAAGAAAAACTCAAAAATGCACCCTATCCTGCCATGTGACCCCAAATTCCTCTCCTAGGTATTGAGCCAGGAGGAATGGTATATTAGAATTTTCATAGTAGCCAAAAGGCAAAAAAGAGCCTACAGGTTCAAAAGGAGATAAACCCAACTGTGCTCCGTTCATAAGATAGAAATCTACTCAGCAATAAAAAAGGATAGTAATACAACACGGTAATAATGATAAAAATAAAAGATTCATAATGACTCTCACATATTGAGTGAAAGAAGGCAGACTCAAAAGACATATCCTATGATTCATTTCTATGAAGCTCAAGGACAGGGAAAAATACAGCGGTTGCCTCAGGAGGTGAAGTTTGGGGACTGATTATAAAGGGGCACGAGGAGGGGGAGCCTGGGTAGCTCAGTCAGTTAAGCATCCGACTTTGGCCCAGGTCATGATCTCGCAGTTGGTGGGTTCAAGCCCTGCATCTGGCTCTGTGCTGACAGCACAGAGCCTGCTTCAGATTCTGTCTCTCTCTCTCTGCCCCTCCTCTGCTCACACTCGAGCTCTCTCAAAATAAATAAACTTTAAAAAAAAGGGGGGGGCATGAGGGCATGAGAAAGTTCTTTATTTTCATTAGGGAGGTGGTCACATAGGTATATACATGTGTCAAAACATTCAACTATATACATAAAGCCTGTGTATTTCATAGTATGTAAATTTTATCTAAAAATGTAAGTGAAACATGACTGTGTTCAGAATCTAACGGAAAAGGGTAGACCGTGCTGAACTCCTTTGTGTGGCCATTCCTCTCAATCCCTGGAGGCGGCTCTCTGAAGCAGGCAGAGGTTTTCCATGTCCAGACGGAGAAGGCGTGCAGTGGGGCGGAGCGTGACTTGATGCAGCCACCTGTCATACTGAGGAGAACCTGGGACAGGGTTGTGGTCACCACAGACTTCAGGAAGATGCCTCTTTGGACCAAAACTACATCAGGTGAGTATCTTCCAGGAGTAAGGAATGACCTGGGGCATATCACCCATGGAAATGGCCAAAATGCAAATTCGGAAAAATCCTAACTACAGGGTAAAGATACCATGTCCTTAAAACAAGGGACTGTAAAGACGACAATAAGCTAACAACAGTTCTTGGGAGGCGGGAGGAAGTAGATTATGAGAAAGATTTTAAAATTTAACAGAAGGGTTGAATAATAGAACAGACAGGGGCATCTGGGTGTGCTGGGTGTGGAGGCTCCTTAAGATTCTCTCTCTCCCTTTCTCTGTGCCCCTCCCCTGCTGGTATACTCTCTCTAAAAAAAAAAAAAAAAAAAAAAAAAAAAAAAAAAAAAAGACTAGCAAAAGAAAACAACAGAGATTAGAGTACAGATAAATAAAACATAGAGTAGAAAAATAATAGAATCAAGAAATCAAAAAGTTGGTTCTTTGAAAATATCAACAAAAAAAAGATCAACAAATCTTTAGGTAGTGATGAAGAAAAAAAGGGAGAGAACACATAACAAAAACCAGAATTGAAAGTGCAGACATTACTAATGATGATAGAAAAATAAAAACGAATACAAGATTATAACAATTGTATGCCAACAAACTAGATGAAATGGACAAACTAGAAACATACAAATTACCTAAAGTGATTCAAGAAGAAATAGAAAATCTCAACAGATCTACAAAAGATCAAAATAGTAACCAAAAACCTCCCAAGGAAGTCCAGTACCAGATAGTTTCACTGGTGAATCCTACCAAACATTTATTTATTTTTAACTTATACTTTTTAAAGTTTTTTTGAGAGAGTATACAAGTGGGGGAGGGACAGAGAGAGAAGGAGAGAATCCCACTGATGGTGTAGAGCCTGATACGGGGCTCAAACTCACGAACTGTGAGATCATGACCTGAGCCAAAGTCAGATGCTTAAGTGACTGAGCCACCAGACACCCCTCTACCAAACACTTAAAGCAGAATGAATACCAACCCTTCGTAAACTCTTCCAAAAACCAGAAGACAAGGGAACACTTCCTAAGTCATTATATGGGGCCAGAATTACCCCAATGACAAAGCTAGATGAAGACATCACAAGAAAACTATATACCAACATTCGTTGACTGTAGATGTAAAAATCCTCGACAAAATATTAGCAAACCAACTCTAACAACATATTAAAATTATTATATACTATGACCAAGTGGTATTTACCCCAGAATAGTACTGCAAAGTTTTTGAAAACTGAACTGCCACTGGAGTCACAGTCCAATGGTAGGTAGGATATTGTGGCCTGAATCTAACCAGTTGATTGCCTGCTTAAAAAAAACAAACAACAACAACTAAAAACCAATGCTCTCTATAGGAATTAAGTAAATCCAGAGTTCATAGCATAATATTCAAAATGTCCAAAATACAATAATTACTTGACATATTAAGAGACGGAAAAATCTGGGGCACCTGGGTGGCTCAGCTGGTTAAGCATTCAACTCTTGATTTCAGCTCAGGTCATGATCTTGTGGTTCATGGTATCAAGCCCCATGTTGGGCTCTGTGCTGAATAGCACAGGATCTGCTTGGGATTCTCTCTCTCCCTTGCTCTCTGCCCCTCCCCCACTCATATGTGCTCTCTCTCTCTCAAACATTTAAAAAAAATGTTAAAAGAAACAGAAAAATCTCAAAATTTCATGAGAGAAAAGACAATGAATAAACAACCCTAAATATAACAACAAATGTTAGATGATTAGACAGAAACTTTAAAGAGAATATTATAGCCATGCTCTAAGAATAAGTGAAATAATTGGAATGACAGAAAGTCTCAGTGGAGAAATAGAAAATATTTTTAAAAATCAGATGGAAATTTTAGAACTGAATACAATAACCAAAATAAAAAATCTCACTGGATGTGCTTAATAACAGAATGGAAATGACAGAACAAGGAGTTCGTGAACTTGAAGACAAATCAAAAGAAATTATCCAGTCTCAAAAGACATGAATAGATACTTTTCCAAAGAAGACATCCAAATGGCCAACAGACATATGAAAAGATGCTCAACATCATTCATCCTCAGGGAAATACAAGTCAAAACCACAATGAGATACCACCTCACACCTGTCAGAATGGCTAAAATTACAACTCATGAAACAACAGATGTTGGCAAGGATGTGGAGAAACAGGAACCCCTTTGCAAGGAATGCAAACTGGTGCAGCCACTCCGGAAAACAGTATGGTGGTTCCTCAAAAAATTAAAAATAGAACTGTTCTATGACCCAGCAATTGTACTACTAGGTATTTACCCAAAGGATACAAAAATGCTGATTCATAGGGGCACATGCACCCCAATGTTTACAGCAGCACTATCAACAACAGCCAAATTATGGAAAGAGCCCAAATGTCCATCAACTGATAAATGGATAAAGACGATGTGGTGTATATATATACAATGGAATACTACTCAGTGATCAAAAAGAATGAAATCTTGCCATTTGCAATGACATGGATGGAAGTAGAGTATACTATGCTAAGCAAAATAAGTCAGAGAAAGACAAATATATGATTTCATTCATAGGTGGAATTTAGGAAACAAAACAGATGAACACAGGGGAAGGGAAGGAAAATAAGATAAAAACAGAGAGAGAGGCAAACCATAACAGACTCTTAGATACAGAGAACAAACTCAGGGTTGCTAGAGGGAGATGGGTGGGGGGATAGGCTAAATGAGTGATGAGCAT